CAGGATGGGTGGGTTGGACAAAAGTTTGTTTCTTCTTCTTCTTCTTCTTCTTCTTCTTCTTCTTCTTCTTCTTCTTCTTCTTCTTCTTCTTCTTCTTCTTCCTCTTCCTCTTCCTCTTCCTCTTCCTCTTCTTCAATGGTGTTCCCACTGGGGGTTAAGAGAGAGCAGGATGAGTTGGGATTTCTGCTCCTGCTTTTAGACGTTCAGATTATTCCTCCTTCTGTCCTCCTTCCCCTAATGTTGCAAACAGAATATAAGGACCGGGGTAAGGGGGTTGAGGACAGAGAAAGGATGGATTTGGATTTGCTTCGATCTTTGTTGGAAGGAAGCAATGATCGAGAAGAGGATGAGTCATTTCAAACCTCTATTCCACATGCTCTTGGGGGGGAGGGGATTGTCATAATTGCTTCCATTAATGCAAGGGTAGCGACTAGACACTTAAAAAAAGATTAGTCATCCATCTCAACGTTCCTATTGCTATGCCTTTCTACCTCTTAAGTAGATGTCTGTTTGCCTCTCCTCATAAGTGTTGTTTCTTGGATAATGCACATTAAAGTGTTACCTCATGCTTTTAACTCAGTGCAAGATTTCAGAGATAAACTCAAAGTGGCTTTGGCTGTGAAAATCAGAACAAAATCAACCTTTGTATTGGTATCTCTCCTTCGCTGGAAAGCTGAATAAATGAGTTTTTATTTGTGGACCAAGAGGGGAAAAATGCATATCTACATAGCTTTCTTTTTCTTTTTTTCAGATGTTTAAGTGTGGGGTAGATGAGTGAGTGAACATTGTCTCATTGATTGTGTTTGCCATGCAATGCTCTCAGGGTATCACCTTTACCGACAAAAGTATTGTGTTTTAAACTCTTGATGGCCTCTTCTGGGACAATGGGATCATTTCTAAGCAACATATGCTATTCCTTCCATCCCTGGGTCAAGTCGTTTCTCTGGCTTTCCATTAAAATAAATCACTTCCATGCTGACTTCAGTTTGCATGCAGAGGATGTGCGTATCGACACTCTTGAAATCTGCCTAATTCTTTTTCCTGGTAGCTGGTAGAGTCTCAAGTCGGCATCTCATTCTCACACAGATGTTAGAATACCTAGGTGATGCTAGGAAAACAGCATCAAAGCAGATGGTGTTCCCACTGGGGGTTAAGAGAGAGCAGGATGAGTTGGGATTTCTTCTCGGTCCATCCCCCCTCCTAGGTGCTTCTAATTTCATTTGCGACAGCTTGCTCACCTCGTAATAGACTTTGGGAAGATAATTAATACCTGTAACTTTCTCCCAAGAACAATCTTCTGGGGTGCCGGCTTCTAAGCAGTCCTTGCAAAGACAGAGGTTCGCAATTAAAACCTGTTCATGGGAGTTAATACCCACATTGTAAGCATCTTATGGAAATGCCATTTCCTCACTGCTGATCAGTTGTCCCTCAAACTGGAGGAGACATTCAAAAGGGTGTGTGTGAAGGGAGTTAGTGACATAGAAAGAGGATACAGGAAACTGATCCCACTGATCAACGTCTCATCCCAAAGCAACATTTCCTGGAGACTAATGTGCAACCACATGTTGTCTTCTCATTAATCAACCCTAATTAAAATGGAGAAGTCCTCTCCTCAAAAGACAAGATGCCAGAAGGCAATGCCTCCAAAAATGGCAATGGTCCATACTCAACCCCTTCAATGCTTGCTTAGTAGGTCCATTTCATTGTCCCATAATTTTAACGGAGAGGTGAGTCTGTTACCCTTCTCCCACTTAAAAGCGAAGTCTTCCTCGCCAATAAGAATCATCAAGGACACATCCCCTTCTCCTCTCCACTTCAAATCCACCCTGCCAGAAAGAATACAGCACATGTCTCCTAGCATACTAGTCCCCGCACATGAAAGACGCACTTCTTTTCTGCATTAATATTTCATGCGTTCCCATTTTGTGAGGAGAAGGTAGGTTTTTCATTTGGACGGCTGTCGCCAGTGCCTGGGACTTCAACTTCCTCGGAAATGTTACTTACGGGGAAGAATTGGATTTCCAATTAGTGGCATTCATTTGGCCCTGCGCTGCTTACTCGTGAAATGCTAATGATCTCCTCGGTGTCCCACTTTTATCTATACTCCAGATGTCATTGCTGCTTCCATGCTGTTCTCCCTATTGCTGTCTAGAATGTGGGCTGTTTTCTCTGACTGATGGAGAAGGGGGAAAAAATAATAGTTGCTGTGCTGGCAGAAGTAGATGCTAAACCCTTGTTCTTTAGGCACCAAGACTTCTGAAAACCCTCATCGGTTTCTCCTGCAATGAGAAAAGAAAATATAAACCATGCACATAGGAGATAATAAAATAACAGGGGGGGGGGATCGTTGTATATTACCTATTTCAACACTGACCTTAATATCAGTATTGGTGGGGAAACTCATCAAACTTAACATTTTCCTGCTGTATCGTAATCTGTTCTATAAAAGGTTTGTATAAATATATTGTATGAAAGTCAACATTATGGGGATAATACATTTCAAATCTTTTTTTTTTTATCAGCCAGATGAAAAGGAAAATTTGAAGGATGTAAGAGGGAATGAAGCATCTTTGTATACATAGTGAATCCGTAACTTTATCTAGGAAACCCACAAAATTTAATTGCCCCAGGGCTGTTTATTACAAACCATGATTGCTAAACTCTTCTTTCTCTCAATCATGCATTCATCTGGAGAAAACTCTCCAGACGGGATTTTTTTTTTCACAGATACCTGCAGGGGGCACAAAATGAATATGCTTTCTCTTAGTATATTGTACAGTCCAATTGCTTCACTCTATCATTTTGCCGGATTCTTGCTAAGTTAACTATCACTTGCGAGCTCCGAAGCCCACCGTTCCGACGGTTGTTGACATTTGCTTTGATTTGCAGATGAAATCCCAACCGTGGTTGGGATCTTCAGTGCCTTTGGCCTGGTCTTCACCGTCTCGCTCTTCGCCTGGATCTGCTGCCAACGCAAATCTTCCAAAGCCAACAAGACTCCTCCTTACAAATTTGTCCACGTGCTGAAGGGCGTTGATATTTACCCGGAGAACCTTAACAGCAAGAAGAAGTTCGGCGCAGAGGACAACAAAGGGGAAGCCAAAAACAAGCCCATGATGCCAAAGACGTCTCTGCATCTTGACCTGGAGAAACAAGACCTGAATGGCAACTTCCCCAAAACGGTCCCTAAAATACCAACTTCTTCAGATGTTGAGAGCTTCACTCCAAAGCTTTTTCCTGAGAGGGAAAAAGATTCGGTGTCTCCTGACAGCTTGAAGTCGACCACCTCAATATCTTCGGAAGAAAAGCAAGATAAATTAGGGACACTCCTCTTCTCCCTAGAGTACAACTTCGAAAAGAAGGCCTTCATGGTCAACATCAAAGAAGCAAGAGGCTTACCGGCCATGGATGAACAATCCATGACTTCTGACCCATACATTAAAATGACAATACTGCCGGAGAAGAAACACAAGGTGAAAACTCGGGTGCTGAGGAAAACCTTAGATCCCGCTTTTGATGAAACTTTCACCTTTTATGGGATCCCTTATACTCAAATTCAAGATCTGAGCCTCCATTTTATGATTCTGAGCTTCGACCGCTTCTCCCGCGATGATGTCATTGGAGAAGTCCTGTTCCCCTTATCAGGAATCGAGTTGTCTGAAGGGAGGATGCTGATGAACAAGGAAATCATCAAGAAAAATGTTAGGGTAATTGATCTTACTTATTCTTTCTTTCCCCCCTACCCCCTCCTACTTGAGAAGTATTTTGAAGAGGTGAGTTGTACGAATGTCCTGTTGACATTTTGAAGAAATGAATGAACTAGGAATAAAATAGAATAGAAAATATGGAACGTAATGGAATAGAATAGAAAATATGGAATGGAATGGAATGGAATGGAATAGAATAGAATAGAATAGAAAAATAGGGAATGGAACAGAATGGAATAGAATAGAATAGAAAATATGGAATGGAATAGGATAGGGTAGGATATAAAATACGGAATGGAATAGAATAGAAAATATAGAATGGAATAGAATAGAAAATATGGAACGGAATGGAATGGAATAGAATAGAACAGGGTAGAAAATATGGAATGGAATGGAATAGAATAGAAAATATGGAATGGAATGGAATAGAATGGAATAGAATAGAATAGAAAATATGGAATGGAATAGAATAGGATAGGATAGAAAATATGGAATGGGATGGAATAGAATAGAATAGAATAGAACAGGATAGAAAATAGGGAATGGAATAGAATAGAATAGAATAGAA